TTTTTATTTCATTTTATTCTTTCGGTCATTGTTTTAGGAGTCTCAGCGTGATAGTTTTTTTTTTTTTTATCCTTCTCAAGAACGGGCATATCAAGTTGTTGGAGAGAAAGTTTCACTGAAAAAAGCGGATCGCGTATCCCGTTTCATTGCAACCAACGTTGGCTTACTCGACGCAGTACTTTGCCAAGGAATGCAGCCAGCTTCTTAATTAAAGTTTAAGATTGTTAGCATAGTATGTAAATGGGTTTTAAGAACAACAAAACTTTACATTTAATACACATATATTTTTGGTAACTTCAAAAAAATACACAAGAATTTCATGGTTTTCGAATTTTTTTTTTCAATACATCATATATATCTTTATTTTGATAAGAGCGAGTATTTTCGAAAAAACAATTTCCTTCCACTTTTGGTTGAGATGCCTCAACGTGCTTTTCTTTAGGGGTAAACGCACCATCTACCGTACACCCGTAAATTCACTTTATTTTGTTACCATGATTGTAAGACAGTTTGATACTAAATATTGACTCAGTAAATTTTAAATTGTTATTTAGGATCTCAAGAGAGCACCGAAATTTTTTTGAGGTGTTAGAGCTTGTTAAAATGATTTTATAATAAAAATATAAAATAGAAGTCATGTTCCTATTTCCGTACCGCCGTTCTCATTACCGGACCCCATCTACCGTACGCGTTCCTATTATCGGACCCCATTCACCCTTTGACGACAGATTTGACTATAACCTTACATTTTTGCTCACAACTGCATATTGATCTCAGTGCCAGCTACATAAATCACGATGAAAATGTCAAAAGCAGAGAAAGATCGAAAATCAAAAATTAAGAAAAAAACGCCAAGTCAATTATGCAATTCAAAAGCGATTGATCAAAAAATCAGAATGAATTATTCGAAAGAAAAAGTCTTTTTTGTCTGTCAGTTTCAGTTATTTTATATAAACAAGCAGTAATTAAACTTTGATTGGTCTCAGTTTAACGACAATTAAATCTATCAATACTAAATAAAACATTACTTGGCAAAAATTATTCAAGAATAACTTCCATTACAAAAATTACTCTTGATAAATCTTTGTTTCTTTTTTGGTTTAGTTTTAATTGCTTCTTTTGAAGTTCTTTAATCTGCTTTTGTAAATCAATAGCTTCTGTCTCGTCCATTAAATCTTCCTCAGCAGACTTTTTTCTGTTTACAATGGCTTTTAACTTCTCTTCTTGCTTTCGTAATTTCTCATTTTCTTTTTCTAATCTTTGTTGCTCTCTCTGTAATTGTTTTTCTTTTTTAATTCTTCTGTCTGCTATCTTTTTAACTCTCGTTTCTTCTTGTTTTTCTAACTAAATTTTTTTTCTTCGTACCAAATTTTCTTCTTGTTAACGTTTTTTATTTAATCTTAACTTTTCCCTCTCCATCTGTTCTTTTCCTGTCAGAATAGGTAACATTTTTGCAACTTTTTTATTACTTTCCTTTTTGGTCAAATCTATGCTTGGATATGGTATAAAGAATCTGATGGATTCATGTACTTGCGTACTGCATTCAGCGGCTGTTATATCTTTTAAAACTCTTTTAACTGGGTGCTGATCATTGGTTTATTTAGTAACTGCATTGCTATTAAAACAACCCGTTTTTTTAGTTAAATTAGATTTTGCATTGAAATGCGCTTTATTCAATTTTTTTTTTTTTAAATTCAAGTGATGTTTGATGGCAATCGAATGTTGTCTCTTCAATGGATAAGTGTCACAAGTTTGGAAGGGTCTTTGAAGTTAGTGGCACATTTTTTTTCGGGTATATTATCGAAACCTTCAATACTAGACTTTTCTTGATAATTAGGAGAATCTTAATTTATAAAAATCGCTTGATCAAGAATACTTTTAAGTTGCTTCTTCTGTTCGTTAGAGAAGATTGTAAATGAGCTTTTGGTTGGCAGTAAAGTATTCACTGCTACATCAGTACTACTGATGAAACTTTCAGGCTTATTTAAGTTACCAGTACTTGTTTCAATCTTACTCAAAGAACGCATAAAATTTAAGTCCAAACAGTCATCTATTCTAAAATAACAGCTGGTTGATACTCTAAGGAGATATCTTGACCCTAGAAAAGAAATAAAATGATGTGTTCTCAGGTGGTTCCATAAAATTAAAGCAAGAAAATTTATTTTTTTGTGATTGTTATTTTGAGGATGATTTTTTCTTAAATGTAACTATTTAAACATTTAAAAGTACTTTTGTTTCAATTTATTTGCATGTTTAATTATCTTGATAACGTACCAAAAAAATTTATAATAACGCACTTTTTCCTATATTAAATATTGTTTCTTATATGTACCTCCACATACTTAAAATTTAATGGAAGTCCATCAGGATAATTTAAACCAGATTTCAAAAAGACTTCTATGGCTTTCTGCTCCGTTCCATTCAGAGCTACCATTCAATCTAAATGACTCTAAAATGTCTTTTGGAATATACTTTTGTAAGCCCAGTAAAAGTACTTTAGGTTTGATTGTACTGGGCTTTTCAGTACTGTGAAATTCTTTAGTTTTAGTGCTATGATCTTCAGTGCTGGGTGACCCAGTGATGGGAGCTTCAGTGCTGAGTGAACCAGTGATGGAAGCTTCAAAGCTGGAGGCTTCAGTGCTGGGTGACACAGTGNTTTATTGGAAGTCCATTAGGAAGCCCATCGGGATCTGATAATTTATACCAGATATCAAGAATACTTCCATGGCTTTCTGTTCTGTTCCATTTAGAGCTACCATTCAATCTAAAAGACTCTAAAATGTCTTTTGAAATATACTCTTATAGGCCCAGTAAAAGAACTTCAAATTTGATTATACTGGGCTTTTGAGTACTGTATAGTTTACTACTTTTAATGCTATCAGCTTCAATTCTGGATGCTTCAGTGTTGAGTGATACAGTATTTAGAGCTTCAGTGCTGGGTCACTCAATAATGGAAGCTTTAGTGCTGTGTGACACAGTAACAGGAGCTTGAAATCTGGATCCTTCAGTGCTGCGTGCTTTACTGAATGGATTTTGCTCAAGGCGATGGAAAATTCTTAAAATATCTACTGCTTCTACATTCATAGGCATAAGCCCACATTTCCGAAAACCATTAGGTAAAATAGATTTTGCATCAAGCTGATCAAGAATTTTCTTTAAAACAGTTGCAAATTGACTTTTATGAATTCCAACGCTTAAAAACTCCAAGCGAAATTGCTTGTGGATTTTTCTCCACGTAACCTTAAATGGTCAAAAAAATGCAACATCCAGTGGTTGGGTTACGTTAGTTGTGTTTAGATGTAGAGCAATCAGAGTAATTTAATGATATAAACAAAATCAATTGAGCTCAGAAGTCATATGCGATTTTTGTTCATCAACAAACATAACAACTGGTCGTTTTTCTTCCCATTTTTGTCAACTATAGCTCAAAAGCATTAGCAATGCACTCAAAAAATTTTGAGCTGTCATATAACCATTTTCACTGTACCCAAAATCATGACTATTATATGGTGTAAATTGGGTAGCATTCTGTGGTAATGACTGACCTTTAAAAAGAATGAAAGGTGGAGCCAGTTCATAAGCAGCAGTTGCTGTGCTGAGCACTCTAACATTTTCTTATTCATTATTACTGACAACTTTTTATACATTCTTGCAACCTTTTACAGTAATATTACAGTGAGTGGATGAAAATTAAGAAGAACTCTTAATAAGTTAAAGTAGATCTGTATAAAAAAAGTGTTTGTTTGCAAAGATGCTTACAATGTAAGATTGTACTTTTACCTGTCTCATCAGTGTTGAAGATACGATCAGCTTCAATGTCCAAAAGATTTTCTACCACAAAATAATCATATACATCAGAGTACCATTTTCTGAGACTTTCTTCTGTTACATTTGCTTTGTTAAGAGTTACTGTCTCAGATACCCTTGTGACTATTTTTGGATGTCTTTTCATGAATAGATTGAATTCTACCACGTGTATTATCAATAAATGGATTTGGTTTGCCAAGATTTACACAAATATTCTTCATAGTTTGAATTAACTCAAACTTAGATGCAGGAAAAACTTTTCTGACGGCTTCAAAAATCCACTTTTCCAACTCATTTTTTTGTTTTTGTGTAAGGACAGAACCAACTCCTGGCTTATTTTCTGAATATTTTTTTTTCATTTTGTCTCTGAGAGTGATTGAAGGAATGCCATACTTAGCTGACACGGTGTTAATGGTATTTATTCCTTTCTTGATCTCATCTAGAGCTTGTATGACATTTTCTTTTGAATAATTCATTCTGGTTTTTTTATCAATCGCTTTTAAATTGCATAATTGACTTGGTGTTTTTTTTTTTTTTTCGATTTTCCATCTTTCTCTGCTTTTGACATTTTCATCGTGATTTATGTAGCAGGCACTAAGATCGATATGCACTTGTAAACAAAAATGTAAGGTTATAGTCAAATCCGTCGTCAAAGGGTGAATGGGGTCCGATAATAGGAACGCGTACGGTAGATGGGGTCCGGTAATGAGATCGGCGGTACGTAAATAGAAACATGACTTCTATTTCATATTTTTATTATAAAATCATTTTAACAAGCTCTAACACCTCAAAAAAATTCCCGTGCTCTCTTGAGATCCTAAATAACAATTTAAAATTTCCTGAGTCACTATTTAGTATCAAACTCCTCAACGTGCTTTTCTATAGGGGTAAACGCACCATCTACCGTACACCCGTAAATTAACTTTATTTTGTTACCATGATTGCAAGACAGTTCGATACTAAATATTGACTCAGTAAATTTTAAATTGTTAATTAGGATCTCAAAAGAGCACCGTAATTTTTTTGAGGTGTTAGAGCTTGTTAAAATGATTTTATAATAAAAATATAAAATAGAAGTCATGTTCCTATTTCCGTACCGCCGTTCTCATTACCAAAAATAAAAAAATTAAAAAGCTTTTTTTTTTATATAATAATCTTAGAACTTTCAAGGCTACAGATTCACAAGGAAAAAACTATTCATTGCCNGAGGCTTCAGTGCTGGGTGACACAGTGATTAGAGCTTCAGTGCTGGGTGACGCAGTAATGTGAGATTCAAAGCTGGAGGCTTCAGTGCTGGGTGACACAGTGATTAGAGCTTCAGTGCTGGGTGACGCAGTAATGTGAGATTCAAAGCTGGAGGCTTCAGTGCTGGGTAACCTAGTGATGGGAGCTTCAAAGCTTGAGGCTTCAGTGCTGAATGAATCAGTGATGGGAGCTTCAAAGCTTGAGACTTCAGTGCTGGGTGACCCACTGATGAGAGCTTCAAAGCTGGAGGCTTCAGTGCTGAGTAAATCAGGGATGGGAGCTTCAAAGTTGGAGGTTTCAGTGGTGGATGTTTCAGGGCTGGGTGCTTCACCGCTTGGATTTTGTTCAAGGCGATGGAAAATTCTTGAAAAGTCTACTGCTTCTACGTTGATGGGCATAAGCCCACATTTCCGAAAACCATTAGGTAAAATCGATTTTGTGTCAAGCTGGTCAAGAGTTTTTTTTAAAACAGTTGCAAATTGACTCTTACGAATTCCAACGCTTGAGAACTCCAAGCAAAACTGTTTGTGGATTTTTCTCCACGTAACCTTGAATGGTCGAAAAAATGCAACGTCCAGTGGTTGGGTAACATTTGTTGTGTTTGGATGTAGAGCAATCAAGATAATTTGATGATTCAAACAAAATAAACTGAGCTCAAAAGTCATATGAGATTTGTGACCGTCAACAAACACAACAACTGGTCGTTTTTTCCCCACTTTTGTCAACCATGGCTCAAAAGAATTAGCAATCCACTCAAAAAAATTTTGAGCTGTCATGTAGCCATTCTCACTGTACCCAAAAACATAGTCATCTGGTGCAAATTGTGCAGCATTCTGTGGTAATGACTGTCCTTTAAAAAGAATGAAAGGCGGAGCCAATTCACCAACAGCATTTGCTGTGATAAGCACACTAACATTTTCTTTTTCATTATTATCGACAACTTTATAAACGTTCTTGCAACCTTTTGGTGCTAACACAGTGAGTGGATGAGAATTGAGAGGAACTCCTAAAAAGTAATAATAAATCTTTATGAAAAACTTTTTTTCTGACAAAATGCTTACAATGTAAGATTGTACTTTTACCTGTCTCATCAGTGTTGAAGATACGATCAGCTTCAATGTCCAAAAGATTTTCTACCACAAAATAATCATATACATCAGAGTACTATTTTCTGAGACTTTCTTCTGTTACATTTGCTTTGTTAAGAGTTACTGTCTCAGATACCCTTGTGACTATTTTTGGATGTCTTTTCATGAATAGATTGAACCATTTTCTGCCAGGTGTATTATCAGTAAATGGATTTGGTTTGCCAAGATTTACACAAATATTCTTCACAGTTTGAATTAACTCAAACTTAGATACAGGAAAACCTTTTCTGACGGCTTCAAAAATCCACTCTTCCAACTCATTTTCTTGTTGTTGTGTAAGCACAGAACCAATTCCTGGCTTATTGTCTGAATATTTTTTTTTCATTTTGTCTCTGAGAGTGTTTGAAGGAATGCCATACTTAGCTGACACGGTGTTGATGGTATTTATTCCATTCTTGATTTCATCTAGAGCTTGTACGACACTTTCTTTTGAATAATTCATTCTGGTTTTTTTATCAATCGCTTTTGAATTGCATA